GCTAATTTAGTTCGGAATTCGTCTATTTGCCATATATATGGGCATACTGGATATGGGCCATCTGGTGGTGCTGAAGGTAACGATATAATGTTTTGACTGGTTTTCTCTTTTATAGCATTCCATAACTCGTTTTTGTTTTCCTGCATCTTTCTGGCTAAATCGATTGTCACTTGTAGGGTATGATTCTTTAGGTTCTCTTCCAATTGGTTAATTTTTTGTTCAAGATTTGTTGTGATAGCTTGAATATGGTCTTTAGCTTTGTTGAACATATGTTCACTCACCTCGATTCGGGTTCCTTTGAATTTACAGAGATATGGACATTCCTTAATTTCTTTAATACACGTAAATCTATGGGTACATACTTTTACTAGTTCCTCGCAACAATTGTTAGGGCATTTGGCCATTAGTTCCTGGCACACCTGTAATTTTCTGGGATTCAAGTGATTGTTCATTAATTTTCGGATAATCAAACAATTGCAATTTTCACATTTTATTTCTGTCACGGGGCATACCTCTTTAATATGTTCTTCTTCTTTGAGTTTGAATATTAGCATTTTACATTTTCCACACATTACAGGTCCTTTAGAGCAGTTCTTGGTATGTTCGACTAGATTTATTATTTTTTCTTCAAATTCACATTCTGGATAAGGACACGTTCTTTGTAGTCCTGCTATTTCTTTAGCTATTGCTCGGTCGGGTTGTACTTGTGTAATCTCTTCGCATTCGATATTAAAGCATTTATTTGTATTTACTCTTAGATGTTCACTGATACATTGATGACAGTATCTGCATCCACAGCTACTCTGCATGGGTTCTAACATTAATAGGTGACATTTAGTACATTTGAACCGTGTTTCTATTTCTTCTGATGACTCGTACTTTTGTATGGATTTTACGACGTTCTCTATTTTCTTGGCGATTGATGTCTCATCTGCCTGGGGTATATTGATTGGATTTGTACGCTGCATCCTGAATATTTACAATTTGTTAATTTTTCATCATTATATTTCTAATTATCAAAGACTAAGTAATAAAATAGGATTAATATTTATAAATTTGTCAGGCCTCTACATTTATTTACATAGGTTTTATTCTTGAATTTTAGTCTGGGGACGTCGAAGAAGGTATGAATCGTTCATTCTCTTCGCGCCTTTCTTCCTCATTAATCAATATATCTAATAAACTTTGTGTGCCTCTCGCGTTTTCTAATTCATTCTGCAATGCAACATTGTGGTTTGTAATAGTTTGAATTTCTATTTCGTTGTTATGTATAATGTTTCTTTGTTGTTGAATGATGTTTAGGTAGTATTGTTGAGTGTTTGTTGCTTCCCATAATTGGCGACGAGCTTCTAATAACGCCGATTCTGTTGAAACTAATAATGAATTCAAAGTACCACAATGTTGTTCCCACAATGATTCTGTTGTAATACTTTCGTAAATTGGCACATCTGAAAAGTTTATTTCATTTGCTGCTATCACCGGTGGATGAGGAAATGTTATTTGAGGATTTAGTGGCCTGACAATATGGATTCGGTTATTTACATTTGGCTGTACACTGGAATGAAAGACTGGTCGTAGTGATTGATTAGCTTCTGCCATCTACAATATTATTTTACATCAATTTTTTTTTTCTAATTTTTTA